TTCTTTTTTCCTTTTCTTCTGTGTTCAAGACTTTCTTAAGTGTTTCTTGTAGCGGTGGTCTGGTGGCAGCATAGGTTCTTAGGGATTGGATGTCTGGGAAAGATTTCAATCCTCCCTCACTGATGAAGCTTAGCTTGGGTGGGTAGGTTATTCTTGGTTGAAATTGTTTATCTTTTAGAACTTTGAAGATAGGGCTCCAAGCTCTCCTAGTCTAGAGTGTTTCTGTAGATAAATCTGCTGCTATTCTAATTGGTCTTCCCTGGTAGGTAGTCTGACCTTTTTCTCTTGCAGCCTTTAGGATTTTTTCTTTTATACCTACTTTGTTTAGGTGAATTATTATATGTCTGGGAGTTGGTCTTCTCATTTGTTGTTTTGCAGGGGTTCTCTGAATCTCTTGTGTTTGTATTTTTTCATCCTTGATGAGATGAGGGAAGTTTTCTTGAATGATTTCATGAAATGTTTGTTCCAGTGTGAACTCTGTTTCTCTCTCTGCCTCAGGAAGGCCAATTACTCTTAGGTTCGGTCTCTTGAAGTGGTCATTCATCTCTTGAAGGTTTTGTTCTGTCTTTTTTGAGCTTCTTTTCTATGCTTTTGACAGTTTGGGTTAGTTCTGTGTTTTGGTCTTTGAGCTCTGAGATTCTTTTTTCTGCTTGGCTAATTCTGCTTTACTTGCTTATTAGTTTGTTATTTATTTCCATCACATTATTCTTTACTGCTGTTATTTCTGACATCAGCTCCTTCCTGTTTTCCTCTTGTCTCTCTTCAATTTTTTTTAATTCTCTCTATTAACATCTTGATGTCTGGGTTTGTTGCACGTGATCAGTCATTCTGGGGGCTCTTTATTGTTTGTGTTCAAGAATCTGTTTTCCCAGTGTCTGGTCCCCCAGGGGTCTGTGTGAGACCTATATTCTTCTTTTGTTTTTTCTTCATTTGTGCAGTTCCCACACACACACACACATTTTCCTTCCCTCCACGTCGCTATCTTCTTTAATTCTGTTATTCAGGTGTGGAGGGGTTGTTTTTACTTCTGTTTGTTCAATCTCCTATTCTTTTTTATGTATGTCCTCTTACTTTGCTCAGTTCTGGAGTTGCACTGTAGGTTGTGGGTGGTCTTTTTGCAGTTTTGAGATTTACTTAAGGGAGGAGCTGTGATTCAGAATCTATCTGCAGGTCCTGGTATCCACTGATAGGTGTATGAATAATCTGAAACCCACTCCCCACTGCCTTGGAATTTGTCCATGCAGTGGGGTTGTAGGTTTACTCCCTGAAATAAAATGCGGTTAACAGAGGGAAGTGAATGGAGCAGGCAGCGGGGGTGGGGGAAGAGGGGGGTGGAGAGAGAGAGGAGTAAGGGTGAAAACAGACGAGTGTACCAACAAATGGAGAGAGAGACAAAAATTTAAACATATAAAAACAATAGACCACAGCTACAAACTAACCAACTCCCATCCAAAAAAACCTAAAACATACAATGTTGCTAACATACAAGCTTACCAACTTCCTTATTGGTGTGCCATTCCTCTATACAAAGATATGGTTTATAGAGAGAAGAAAAAAAAGAAGGGGAAAGGAGAAAAAAAAGGGAGGGGAACAAAACAGAAGGAATAGAATCAAGTCAGTATACTAACAGAACCAATCGAGCACACTCTGAGACTTTTCATTTAAGTTGAATGTCCTTTCAGCTCTGATTTCTAGCTGTCTTTTCAAGCTAGTAAGTTTGTTCAAGGTTAGGATCAGTTGCCCCTGGTCTGCTGTGAAGAGTAGTTCAGATCATCACTCAGTTCCCCACTGCCCCATTCACTACTCAGATCTGACCTGTGTGTGTCAGATTTCCATTTTTCCCCTTTCAGTCTTGTTACCTTGAATCACCAGCCAGTGGTGTTATCCCTTGCTCCAGATGGCCTTTATCACAGCTGCTCACCCACCCCTAAGGGGAGGGAGATGTTGCCTGGAGGCACACAGGAGGAGACCCACGGCCTGGCAGGACATCCAATGGTAGTAGACCTCAGCAGATCTTGCTCGCAGAGGCTTCAAGGTCTGAAGTCGTGGATCGCCTCAGGCACAGGCCATGTGATGTGTAATGGCTGCCTTGGTGGTGGTGGCTGTGGTTCACCTCAGGCACTGACGGTTCGATGTGGAATGGCTGTTTTGGCGGTAGCAGCAGCAGCAGCAGCTGGTCTCAGGCACAGGTGGAGCAATGTGCAATGGCTGCCTCAGAGGCAGCAGCGGCAGCCACAGTAGCTGCCTGGACCGCGGTGATACCTCAGCAAGGTCTACGGCCGAGCTCCAAGTGAAGAGCAGACTACCAACGATGGGATCTGCAGCCTCCAGGGAGAGAACCAGAGTCTCGTTGTGATCTCCTCGGTGGAGAGTCTCACAGACTGAGCTGCCCCGTCGCCATCTTGCCGGAAGTCTCCAAGTACTTTCTCTACCCACCTTTAAACTCAGGGTGGAGGTCACAGCCAGCAATTAGCCTAACACAGTCATCTTTTATTCATTAATAGGGTCATATTCATAATTATTCCTTCAACTGACAGTCTCCTATTAATTAAAGCCAAGGTATCATACTATTGTACTATTTATCATACTATTGTACTTCTATGTGTCAATTATTTCTTTGTGCTTATTGAAATTCATTTTTCAAAGATTGAATAGCTCACATATCCCATTATGTATGCATTCAAACCTTTAATAAATTGATAATTCTTTGAAAAATAAAATATTTATTTGATCAAAATGGGTATGATCTGAACTGATAACTTGACAACAGGTTGTTCCCTAATTACAAACATCCACAAATATACTCATTTGCAAATATACTCATATTCAAAAACAGCTAACACCCAGCATTAGCTAAGGAACCCGCTAATTTTGAAAAAAAACCAACATGTAGTAGTAAAATGTACCTATTTGTGGTATAAACACAATGTTCACGGTGTTCCCTCATCTCTCTCTCCCTCTTTTAAAACAATCACTCTACATTTACGACACGCAGTGAAGAGAGAGCAAGGTCATGAAAATTTACCCCTGTTTTCTCCAAAGAGTATTGTAAGTCTTGCTCTTATAGTTAGATCTTTAACACATTTTGAGTTATTTTTTGTAAATACTACAAAAGGTGAATCCCACTTCATTCTTTTGCATGTGGCTATCCAGTTGTGCAAGCACCATTCACTGAAAAGACTATCATTTCCCACATTAAATGGTCTTGGCATTGTTTGTCAAAAATGATTTGATCATAGATATATGGGTTTATTTCTGGACTCTAGCTTCTATTCCATTGGTGTGTATGTCTCTCTTTGTGCCCATACCACCCCATCTTATTGTTGATTTGCAATAAATTTCAAAATAGGGAAGTATAAACCTTCTTACTTTATTCTTCCTTTTCAGGATTATTTTGGGGAAGACTATTTAATTTGTTTTTATTACATTATTTAATTTCCTCTTTATTGTCCCTCATAAAAGTAAAATTCCAAAAATATTCTCATTATTTGAACTTTTTGATGATTAAATTTGAACTCACAAGAGTTTAATCTGAAGGTCTCTTTTTTTCTTTCACAGGTTTAGCATTTCTGATTGCAAAACTTGAAAAAAATTGGCTTCACTGGGTGCAGTGGCTCAAGCCTATAATCCCAGCATTTTGGGAGGCCGAGGCAAGAGGATTGTCTGAGCCTACGGGTTCAAGACCAGCCTGAGCAACATAGTGAGACCTCATCTCTACAATAAATTAATAAAAATTAGCCAGGCATGACAGCACGCGCCTGTAGTTCTGGCTACTTGGAAGGCTGAGGCAGAAGGATCACTGGAGCCCAGCAGGTCGACGCTGGGGTGGCCATGCGTGTGCCACTGCACTCCAGCCTAGGTTGATAGAGTGAGACTTCAACCCCCAAAAAACAAAAAGAGAAAAATTGGCTTCAATGGGCATTTTGAAATATTTTCATTTTATTAGGTTATTTTCTCTAAGATGAGGCTACTTAAAAGCAGCAAGACAGAGTTTAAGCCTCTGCAAGTCATGAATTGATTCTCTGCTTAAGAGAGCACTTAAATACTTTTACTGGATTTGTCACTCCTGTATTTGTAGTGCCTATGAAAACAGTATTTTAAAAAATTAAATATTATTGGGATTCTACCTGTTAGCTACCCTAATTATATATTTTTGGACTTTTCTCATTCACAGTTGTCTTCTTGTTGGACATAAGAAATAAATGTTTGACCTTCTCATTGTGACTAAATGATATGTTTTTTATTCCATTTCCTGAAAGTTCTGCAAACATATTTCTTTATCCATGTATCTTAAGCTCAAGATATCTGAGTCACAGCAACCAAGTAAGTGTATATAATTTTTTCTGTATATCATCAAACAGTGATGCTGGATAATTTTTATATTTTGCTGTTAACAGTGTGCACACAAAGCTTCCTTATAAGAATAATCACTGATAATGAAAAGTAAATGACTGAACATGACTTTTTTTATTCTTTCAGAAAAAAAAATCAAAGAAAATTCAACTTATTGACTAAAGTAAGAATGGTACCTTGGGTTGGAATGTTTGTGTTCCAGTGATGAAATATTAGGATGTCAAATGCTAGATTCTGCACCTTGTTGTGCTACTTACTAATCAACTGTAAGACTTCTGACAAGTCCCTTAACTTTCTGAGCCTTAATTTACCATATATAAATAGGGACGCAAAGAAAAGAATGAAAGACTTCTTTTATTCTTCCTGGTTGCTAAATCTCTATGATTCTGTTATTCTCCATAAGTGATGCTACAAAGATACAATAGAGAAAATGACCTAACTCTGGATTACTAACTAGAAATTTGTATATTCAACAACTGTTCTACAAACATTTATGATGCCAATGACTCTTTAAAGTTGTGATAATAGTGCAATGCTCCCCTCAGCAGCAAATCATCTCCCTTTAAATAGAGATGCAGAATAAAGTGCCATGAGAAAATGAGTGACAGTTTTAATTTTAAAAAAAAGAAAGAAAGAGAGAAACTTACCTGAATACCACCTGCACTTCCCCAAACTGTGAAGTTTTGGAGCAAGGTGGGCCCAGTGCCATTATTCCAAGGTGGCTGAAATTTAGGGTATACAAAGAGACCACACCTAAAAAGTAAGCAAAGAATGAAATTAAGTCAATTTCTGTATGTCTAACTTCCCACTTATCCTCATTGGAAAATACACATGTAAAAATGGTGAGAGAAGAGACAGATAAGACCTATGACTTTCCTCTCTGATTGTACTTGTCTATCCTCCTGTTTCCCTCTGTGACCTGCTTCTAGAACTCAACAAAATGCAGATTGCCATGATCCCCTGCTGTTCTGTCAGTCCCCACTAGATTCTTCCCCTTCCTAGGCCTTTGTCTAACCCTTCAGGTCATGCTCCCTCTTATTATGTGAGCCCCTCGAATTTCACTCCTAAGAAGAGTGGATGCCAACACCTGCAATCCCTCCAACTTTTGTTCTTCTATCAAAAACACCCTACCATTGCCGTATCCTGGATACTTTCTTCCCTCACATTCCAAGCCTGCCAAGAGCTGCTGGATTAAGCTTCATGGTCATGATGATAATTTCATTACACATGTACTAATCCCAGCCTCAGCTGACACTTCAACATTGCTTAACCATTATTCATATTCTTATTTTCAGTTCTTATCACTTTCCATCATAGCAGTAATACTAATACTATTATCATCATAATCATTTCTAGTTTTCAATTATTGAGCTCTTACTATATTCCAGATATTCTCCTTCGGTGTATTATATAAATCAGCTCTAATATTTATACCCAACTTTCTACATAGTTTTGTCTGCATTTTACAATTAAGAGATCTGACTCTTTAAAAAGAAAAAGGAATTTGCTATGAGTATAGTTGGGATTTGAGTCAGGGCCTGACTGACTCTAAGTCAGCATTTTCCCTATACTGCTCAAATCCCCTACCTACCTTGCTTCCCTTAGTCCTTACTGTCAGATCCCCTACCTACCTTGCTTCCCTTAGTCCTTACTGTCAGCAGATGATCTTATCCTCTACCTAAGTCTCTTTGAACAAGTCTCTCCTCATGTTTCAGTGAGCAAGTCACAGGCACAGAGCCTCTCCTCCAAGGCTCATCTCTCCACCAATGCCTCAAGGCCTCTGCATCATTGGGTGCTCTCAAGGTATTAGAAGTTTAATGGTTCTCTCTATTGAATTATCTCTGGCCACAAAAGATACACTCTGTCCTGATGCCATTTCAAGTGACTTCTTTTTCTTCCCCTCATCACCAAGATTTTATGATCCAAAATGCTTACGCAGTGATTCACAATAGCCAAGACATAGAGGCAGCTGATATGTTCATCAACAGATGAATGGATGGGAAAAATGAGGTTCATACTTAATGATGGAATATCATGCAGCCTTTAAAAAGAAGGAAATCCTGCTATTTATGGCAATGTGGATGAACCTGGTGGACATTGTGCTGGGTGAGGTAAATCAGACACAAAAGAACTAATACTACATTATATCACTTATATGAAAAATTGAAAACATTCAAACTCATAGAAGCAGAGAGTAGAATGGTGGTAGCCAGTGACTGGAGTGGAGAAAATGAGGAGAGAGTACTAAAAGGGTACAAAGTTTCAGTTATACAAGATGAAAGTCCTAGAGATCTACTGTACAACACAGTGCCTATAGTTAAGAGTACTCTATTGTATACTTAGCAATGTGCTAAGAGATTAGACCTTATATCAACTGTTCTTACCATATAATAACAATTATAATAATAATAAGTAAATAAAATAAAGAGGGTTAGAAGAAAATTTTTGAAGGTGATGGATGCGTTTATGACAAAGATTATGGTCATGGTTTTAGTATAGTTATCTTCAAACTTCTCAAGTTGTACACATTAAATATATATAGCTTTTGTATGTCAATTATACCTCAATACAGTGGGGTTTAAAAAATACTTACACAGGAGCATTATCAAATCTAAAAAAAATGCCAAAAATGTTCTCTTTGTGACTGTTCTACAGAAATACACAAAATCATAAGCCTTACACCCAAAATGTAGATGAATTTCCCTTGAAGTTACCTTGTACAAGAATGTGCAGTGTTTTGACTGAAGGCGAGAAGTGGAGCTTGTGATGTTTTCCTGGTCACAAGATGGAAAAAGTAGCCATAACCAGCAGTATATACCCTGTTCCCCTACAAAAATTAAGGATAGTTGAAGTTATTATATGTGTGATAAACTTGCTGAAAAGACTTAGTTGTACTCAATCTGCTTTTATATTCATTTTCAGTCAAGGTATTTTGAAAGTTTTATAGACTCATTTATTCTTTCATTTGTTTTCCTCAGGTTCAAAAATACTTTTATTCCCTGTCCTCCAGGCAGCTCAACCACACTGTAATTTGCCCATCTCAATAACTAATATCCAGTGCTGAAGGCTTCTTTTAAACTTCCATAGTGAGAAGCATACTTGTGACATCTAATCTAAGAGTCTTCTAATCTAATCTAAGAACCTTCTCTTTAGTATATACAAGAGTTTATATTGGCTCTCCAAGGTAGAGGCATACCTTTAAACAAAGCCTACACAAAGTATTCTCTCTGATTCTTTGGACAAATCAATGAGTTACTTATGGGCTGAAGGCCACATGATTGAACTAGCCATGCCTTAGTTCTGAGACAAAGTGATTGAGTTCAAATACAACTCAAATCTCCTCAGCATGCTCTTGTACTAATTAGATCACTAAGTCACCTTAATATTTGTTTTTAGGATTTTCTATCTAGATAATTTAATGTCTTTTATATGCTCATACAAAATCTAACTTCTTCATTGGACCATATGAGTTTGGAAATCTAATTCTTACCAAACTGAACACAAGGAGATTATCTTTATAAATTCAATGAAGCACTTATAATATGGTCATCACTATGCAATATTTTATAAGACAAAGTAGAAAACTGACTTTCTAAAGTCAGTACACAGATGTACATCTGTGTACATGGTCTAATACTATACACAGATGTATTTTTTTCTTGGCCACCCAATGTTTACAAAACTTTCAAATTTTGTTTCCAACATTTTAAAATCAGAAGAGTTAATATAAAAACAAAGATTTTCACCATTTCTGAGCTCAGATTTCTGTGGAGTAGCCATGGGTCAGCTTAGGATAAGAAGCTCTGACATTCTTAGACTATAAATCATTTTTTCATAGTCCTCACTTGCCTATGATGCTTTTCTAGACCCAGTTGGCATTTGAATGTGCAACCTCAATTCCAGGTGACAAAGTAAATGACATGTTGACTGTCCTATAAAAGATTCGATTTCTCCTTTCCTGAATTGCATCTTAGTCCTCACAGAGTCACACTTTTACATCTCAAGAAGCCTAAGCCCTCTCTCCAATCATGAAAGCAAAAGAAATTGGGAGTCTCACCAGGTTGCTGCACTGCGGTGGCACTATTAGTGGGAGGAATGCAGGGACAATAGATCTAGTTCCTGGACTACTTCCTAGGTATGCAAATGCCCAGATGCTCAAGTCTACCTGGGGAATAGAAGTTGAGGAACAGGCTGATCAGCCTGCCTTGGGCCTAAGCTTTGTGCTACATGGATAAAGAGTTTCAGTGGTTCCCACATGGTTCATTCCTGACCACCTGGGGGTTCAACGTGGTCTGGTTGAGGTAAGACAAAGGATGCCTGGGGTGTTCTCCCTGTGAGTAGCTCAATCCTGAAAGCACACACTGTGGGGCTTGGAGAGCTCATCCCAAACACTGGCATCAGGGTCATAGAAAAGAGAATTGGGAGCAAGAGTATTGTGACACTGTGCCACAGAACAAGGCATTAAATACTTTAAAAAACAACAGTTCAGTGCAATAGTTACCTTTATGCAGGGATCAGTGGGGACTATTCTGTGAGCATCTAAGAATAGTTTCTTAAACTTCATTGTGCACTCAGGGGAGAGTTGTCATATTTAGCAAACAAAAACACAGAATGCCCAGTGAAATTTAAATTTCAAATAAGAAACATATTTGCTAGTATAAGTATGTCCCAAATACTGTCTGAAATTTAAATTTGACCAGATATGCTGGTTTTTTATCTGGCAACCATACCCTGGGGAATATAAGAAACAGATTTGTGGATATTCTAATTTCACAGGTGGTGAGGGTAATGATGAAGGGACGAGGGTCATTATTCTGTATTCTTGAGATCCACAAGGTATTCTGATAGGTCTGCCTCAGGGGCCTTCCCACCCTATTTTAAGAACTACTTCTCTAGAAGTGACTGGACAGTATCAGGTACAAGTGTCCTAGGAGATGTTCAAAGAGCAGAGAGACACTAGAATTACTTGATTTGCTGATGATTTTGCCATGAGTTGCTTTGGAAACCCACTGCAAATGGGAAACATTGTTGAAAACTGAAGGAAAACAGAGATGTATAAATCAAGGTTAAAATCAGTTGTTAGATCCCCAGCAAAGTTTTCTCAGCTCAGGGCAAATTAGATTTACGTTGAATTTTTTTTTTCTTTTCCTTAGAAGTATTTATTCTTTTTTAAGTTATGGCCAGGTATAACAATAATACCTATAGTAGATTTTTATAGAGAAGCTACCACAGCCCAGGTACCAGATTCCAGAGTCTCATTTATTTTCACAATTTTTTTAGCTATGTACTATTATTACAATTTCACAATATTAGAAACTGAAGCTCAGAGATATTGAGGAACTTTTCCAAAGTCACAGAGCAAATAATCTTCAGAGCTATCTCCATCCAAGTCTAAGTCTGGAAACGATGGAAACTATAGTCTAAGGTAAAAGAATGAAGGTGAGACCCAGAGCCAGGATGCCAAACAATAGGGTGCAAGTGAAGAAACAAACAGGAGAGGACAAAGCAATGTCTTATCACCAGGTCAAGGGCAAAACAGGCATTTGCTGTGGCCTCCCTAAGAATAGAGGCAACATATTGAACAGCATTTTTTGCAGAAGTCAATGTATTATGGATACTCGAGCAAGAGAAATTTCAGAGAAAAAGTAACTGTCCAAGGAAGCCACCTCCTTGAGGCACGCTTATGCAGCCACCAGGAAAAAGGTGAGTTAACCCTTCAGGTATCAGGGTAGTGTTTGACATGGATACATAAATATAGGTTTCTTCAAAATTAGAGAGTGTTTTTTAGGTTAGATTTAACTAAAGAGTTGCTTCTTCCACACCCCAAACATAGAAAATATAAAATCCTTTCCATCCTAATCACAAGGGGAAAAAAATGTACACAGCTTAGAGTACACAGAGAGACACAGGGTAAGGATGTGGGAAATTTGTCAACAGAAGGCAAGAGAAGACAGGATATCTTGAAGAGTATCTTTAAGGAGGACGAGGGGCTGGGCACAGTGGTTCACGTCTGTAGTCCCAGTTACTCAGGAGGCCGAGAAGGAAGGATTGTCTGAGCCCAGAAGGTCAAGGCTGTAGTGAGCCGTGATCCTACCACCGCACTCCAGCCTGGGTGACAGAGTGAGACCCTGACTGAAAACAAACAAACAAACAAAAGCAACAGTAGGATAAGGGTTCTGAAATACTAGCACTAAGGAGATTGAGTGTTACCAAAACTTAGACATATCAATGAGTACTGACTAGTAACAGAAATTTTGAGTAACAACAGATGAAAAGACTGAGGTTATCTGCAATTGTTATTTACTATAAATGCAGAGAGTAAAGGATATGAACTGGACGCAGGCAAAGGTTAAAATTTAAAGAGGAAATTCTGACCTGCCCAGGACAGACTCTTGACATAGCCTTTCTCCCAGTCTGGGGAGTTTCACTACATTCTCAGTAAAGATAGTTTGAGAGTAAAGACTCCACATACCTTTTTACTCTTAGTCATTCTCTACTTATTGATCCTCAGATTAAGTAAACTCATCATTCTATGTCTTCAGCCATTATAGACTCCTATTTCTATTGACTTTAGTTTCAAAATAAAAGGACAGCTTTAGATATTATTAAGACAATTCTTTGTTTTGTTTTGTTTTGTTTTTTTGAGCTGGAGTCTCACTCTGTCGCCCAGACTGGAGTGCAGTGGCCGCTCCCGGCCACCGCAGCCTCAACCTGCTGGGCTTCAGCTATCCTTCCGCCTCAGCCTTCCAAGTAGCCGGAATTACAGGCATGCGCTACCACGTCCAGCTGATTTTTTGATTTATTGTAGAGATGAGGTCTCGCTGCCCAGGCGGGTCTCGAACCCACGGGCTCAGGCAATCCACTCACGTCAGCTGTGAACCTGGGTAACCAACTGGCAGTCATAATATTACAGCACCTTCTACAGAAAAAGAACTTAAATACTCTATTCCTTCCTGGATGTATCACATGTTCCACAAGAAACACACACACACACACACACACACACACACACACACACACACACACACACACACAGTCAAGCAAATATAGGGAGGCAAGAGCTGAAATGGGTTGTTTTTAAACCAGTAATACTCAATATTATTGAGAGGAAGTGAGAGAAAGAAGAAATGCTCTAACCCTTAGAGGCCTTCAGTTTTGGGAGAAGTATGAGTAGGGGCCACAGTTCACCCTGAGACCAGAAACCTAACCAGCAGGCTGCAACCCGATCCTGGCCAGGGAGGTCAGCCCATGCTGACACAATCATTTAGCTTGCATCCACTGGGGAGGGGGTTGGGGAGGAGGTTCTTCTACCCTGGGTATTTGTAAACAGATAACTATTCCTCATTTTTCACTTGGTTACAGAACATTTTCTTCCTTTTGGACTAGTTGATCCAATATTTTCCGCATGTCATTATTTTAGATTATGCATAATTCTCTAATTTCCTAAAAGCACTTAAAATTCTAATCACATGATTCACCTACCATATGGTCCTCAGCAAAAGTAACTTTTGGATATCATTGAATATTCAGTTGAATTACTACTTTTCAAACCACTAGCATGCCTTCAAATAATCAGGGGCATCCCTAAGACTTCAGTGGTCTTGGGGTGGCCTAGTCTAGAGTGGCAGTTGTCAACCAAGGATGTTTTTGTTTCCCAGGAAATATTTGAGAATTTATGTAGAAAGTGAAGGAAAGTGCATTTAGGGGTGCTGCTATACAGAGGATCACACACAACGGGAAACTATCTGGCCTAAAATGTCAATACTGCCATGGTTGAGAAAACCTGGTCTACAGTCTATACTGGAGTCATGAATTTTTAAAATAATCTACACTCATTTTCTAATATCCTATCTCCAAATTTTGATGAAAAGAACAACCTAAATACAAAAACATAGTTAATTACAATAAGAATGCTTTAATAGTCTTTACTAGGGAGGTGTCAATAACTTTTTGAGCAACAAGATCTGGCATCAAGCATTCCCAAAGCAAAATTTACTAGTATTAAATCAGTTATCCCATTTCCTCTCTTTTGCTAGAAAACAAGGCATGGACTCATGATTTTCAGCCAGAGAACTTAGAGAATCACTGTCTCTAAGTTGGCAAATGTAAGTGCCCAATGTGCCTCTCCAGCCCTCACATACACAAAGAAATTGCAATTGGGTATGCTACCATATCTGTCATTCCCAGAAATGATTACCCAAATAAAACCTTCCCCAGGGTAGCACATGTGAAGCTTAACCTTCCATAGGGGTGTCTCTCCACACCTACGACCTATGGGAAAGATCATGGATATAGAAGAACCAAAGGTCAGAGAAGAGGGCTTCTTACACACCTACCTTTTCTGCAAGTGTACAAACGATGAAATATGTGGACCGAAGGCTAAAAGGAATCATCTCCCTTGGACACACAACTCTATTTCATTACCAATGACATGCTATTTTGTTACCAAGAGGAGAGAAAAGGCTTTAACATTTCAAAAATATATTCCAGGGGCTGTATCCTTTTTCCTCACCTTTGCCAGCACAGATGCTCAGAAAGCATGTATTTTTAGTGAATAAGTGGGTTTGTGGAATCATGTGCCCTAGTGTCATTAGCATTTATGGAGCATCTGGGTGGTCACACAAGTACTTTCCAAGTGCATTTATGGTTGGGCAGGAAATTGCAACTTTGGTCCTCTGTTAGCCGATAAGGCTCACTCTTCCTACAAAAGAAGCACTTGAGCAGTCAGATCACACTGCTTCCCAGCCCTTTTTATTCTCCATTCCAATTGGGTCTGCTACAAATGATTCGTGAGGAAAAACCACATATTTATGCAGGCAGCTGGCAGCTTGCGGGGAAGGGTTTAAGGCAAGCAGGGAATTTTGTGTGGAAATCAATTCTTTGCAGAAGTCAATGTATTATGGACATTCAAGCAAGAGAAATTCCAGAGAGAAATTAACTGCCCAAGTAAGCCAGCTCCTTGAGGTGTACATCTATAGTTGCTAGGGAAAAAAAAAGTGAGTTAACCCTTCAGGCAGCTCTTAAATATGCATTACCTATTGAGTGGGGAGAGCTTGAGAACTGAGGTTGGGCCTTTAAACACAGAATTCCTTACAAAATTGATTCACAAACCAGAACAAATTATCCTCAAATTAAATGCACGTCTCCAAAGGGCTCTTCTGCAGGGTTTTTTCTTGGACTATCCTAAACAGAAGGCTGGTCATAGGAAACTTCCAGCACCTACATAAACACAGGGTCCTCTGAGCCTGGATGTGAACAGTGTTTTGCTATTTGAGAGCAACTGCCCGGCTGTAAGGAAGGGGAACAAAGTTCACATAGGTTATGTCTTCTGGAAAGATAGCACCTCTGAACAGGTAACAAAGAACCCCTGTAAAAGGAGTCAGAGACTCCTGTGCTGGAGTTGTTGAGAAAAGATGGCCAGGACATGGGGTGCTCTAAGAAGCTTCAGGTGATAGACATGGAAGAACCCCCAGCCTGTTTTTGGAAAGCATGGAAAAGGCCTATCCAAGGCACATAGGAAGAAATATCACAAGGCCCCTGGAGGCTCAAGCAGGATACCACACATGAGTCCTCCCTGACACAATGGCACAGAGCTCAGGTTTTTCTTCTCAGAGAAACTGACCCAGATTTAGCTCACCTGCAGCCTGGGCAGGGAAGCCAGGCAGATGACTTGTGGCTATGAAAACTAAAAAGCAGTATCTCACTTGAAACTTATTTACATCATGCCAGGTTTAAGGTGAGTGAACCATAAAAGTGACCAACTGGAAGCCCAGGTGATTTCCTTATGCTGTGGTTCCGAGTTTGGTACTAGGCTCAGAGTCAGGGCAATTTGGAAATAACACAAAGCCACAAACCACCACACAGACTTAAAGATCTCTTCCCCTGCCTGCCTGCTGGGTCAGAGATTTCAAGGTCAGATTCACAGTGGGCAGAAAGAAGTTAGGCTTTTAGGGTTGGTTGCCCAAACATGAAGATGAGGCGATCTTCAAATCTAAATAAAGGCATTTGTTTAGTTAATACTCTCTGTCATACCAGTGTCAATGTCCTGGTTTTGGCACCGCTCCATGACTATGATTATGGTTATGTTATTATCAGAGGAAGCTGGGTGAAAGGCAACACAGCAACTCTGTTATATTTTTACAACTTCCTGTGAGTCTGGAATTAATTCCAAATTAAAAATTTTAAATAAAATTTAAATTTTAAATTTTAAATAACAACAAATAAAAGTCCTAATTAATCACAGTAATATGGTGGCACAGCAATCTTTCTCTGAACCAGGACATAAAAGACCCCACCCATGAAACAATTCCTCAGAATAAGGGAATCTCTCTCCCAAATACCAGAACAACTCTAGGGGAGGGCAAGTTTTTCTATCACATCTCTTTCTTTTCCACATATAATACACATACACAAACATACACGTGCATTGTTATTGTTGTAGTTTCCTTATTATCCTTTTGGAATAAAGGTATATTTCTAAAATATATTCTTCAAAGTACTCTGGGTATTATCCACACACAACACCCTCCATAAACACTAACTTACCTTTGTTCAGTGACTGAAAGGACCTTCATCAGTCCTCCAGACTAAAAGACGTGTTTAGGTTTTTCCACATATGCTCAGTAATCACTTATGTCTTTAGCAATGGCACATTCCAGATAATGGAGCAAAAAAGATATAACACAACAGGAAGCTAGTGGCACAGCTGAAAGACTGGACTAGACTTTGCAAGGTTTAATACAGTCTCATAAAATCCAAACGCCGCCATTGATTAAACTTATTTTTCAATCATCAAAATGATTTGGGAATCTTAAATTTATTCTTTATGAAATAAAAAAGTTTCTTTCTTGCCTCCATTCTTTGGTTATGAATTTACGCCTACATTCATTTGTTCATTATCTTCAATACATTTTTGTTGAACAACCACTATTTTTTAGACATGCCAGGGTATAAAAGTTAATAATCCCAAGAAAAGAGAACTAGAGAATTTTAGGGTCATCAAAGATGAATATGTCATGAATATACCTAACAAATCTGTGTTATTAGTTTAACCTAAAACTTCATTGCCAGAACACACGCATTGCATTTTTTCCCCAATTTTGTAAAGCAGAGACTGTATTAGCGGAAGAAAGTAAATGAAGAGAAATGGATGGCATCTGAATGAAAGCAAACAGCTAGTTGTAGACTCAGTTTTTCTGCTGCCAACTGAGTATTGGTCTACAGGCCACTCTGCACTCGGGTGACTCGCTGGGTTTTTAGGTGACCCTCTGGTTCTCTTAAACTACTGCCAGCTCAACTCTTCTTCCTTCAGCCAGTGGCCAGCACGCCTGTCTGGGAGGAAACGACTTTCCAGCCTCACACAGGAAGATAAGCTGGGCAACCCTGAGAGTTTACTTTCCTCTAAGCATTTTGATGTAGTCAAGATTATGCTTCCCAGAAAAGTTCACAAAAGTGTGGTTCCTTAGGCCCTAAAGCTGACTAACATCACTGTGTGACAGTCTTGCAGTGGCCAACAAGTCAAATGCAGCTCCAGCTGTCCCACACCTGGAGTCTGGCTTCCGATAATCCATGCAGTTCTCTTTTTCCCTTTGGTATATTATCACTCCCATTAGGTACCTAAAATGGTGTGTAACTGCTGTGTTTGGAATAAACACAATTAAGAGTTTAAGAAGGGTTGAGGATACAACCCTTCTTTGATTGGGGGCTATTCATCTGAAGGTAATTTAAAAAACAGCTATCAATGAGAAAGCTGCTCATCTTCTGAGCTCCTCAGAAATTTGACTTCATTGTCACGACATAGGAGGTACTCAGGGGAGTGTCCTGGAAGAGTGAGATCCTTAATCCCATTCGTAGGCAATCCACAGGATAAAATAATTGGAAGAGGAGGAACCAAATGGCCTTCTACCACTCTGATGCAATTCTTCATTCACAGATCTAGGGTTATGCTGTACCCAGAAAAATTAATTTCTTAAAATGTTTAGACAGAAATGTACCAAGAGAAAGTCATGTTAAGTTGTATTAAACAGCAGGTTAAAAAAATCAAGGTCATCAAAATGGGCTTCATCCTTTTAGAATCTGACATGATTTCTCACACCTCCTGACTCCGTTTTGAACACTTTTTTTTTAATTTTTAATTTTTTATTTTAAAGATGTGGGGTACAATTCAGGGTTGGATATACAAATGTTCATTATGCAGGTGCCCTTGTTGATGAGATGTGCACCACTCCCCCAAACCCGACAGATTCCCGCTACTGCCAATCTGAACACTCATTAAGGGCAATATGGCCACATTAACATAGTAAGACAGTAAATAATTGGTATTGGAATCAAAAGAGACAAAAATCAGCATCCACCATTGATACTTCAGGAAGATATTTTAGTTTGCATTCATCTAAATGACCAAAAAATGATCAATGTCTGCTTTATTTTGTTCTATTAGCTATTGCTTTAAAAAAGTGTTTCCAAGACTCCTAAGAAATATAATTACATTTATCGTAAAGCACTTGTTAAGCACAAAATCATAAATTATTTTCTTGATAGTAATGTGCAGCAGGTAAATATTTCCTACAACAGCCACAGATGCTGCCCCTCCAATGATCTTTTGGTGTGACCTTTATGCTCTCTCAGTTCTGACTTTCCTGATGGAGCTGAAGAACTTACCTCTATGACATTGGTGGGACTGCGGATATAGATACCAGATGGTGACAACATTTCAGGATTGGAGAGTCCCTCAGCACCAGAAACACTGATGATCACATTGTTTCTTATTATGTTTCCCTGTTCTGACCAGTCTAATTTAAAAAAAGACAAATCAAACCCAGGGGACTCGCACACATAATTAAAATGTACACAACTCAACAATCTTGATCCTACTAATACACATTAGAGTTTACATAATCCATTACATATATATATATGCGTATCTATATATACACATATTTAGAAAGTATTAGTATGCTCAATAAGTTTAAGACACCTAGCATTTTGCCATTAAGTCTATAAAATATATGACAATTTTAAATAGACTGTAATAGATTTAAAATAAATTTACATATTTACCATTTTTTCTTCCAGAAATAGCTTCCCAAGAGATATATCCTATTTCCATGTATGTTCCTAAGAACAAAAGACCATGTTACTTGAGCACATTTTATGTCACTTAGGAAAAACAAGGGACACTACAACACTACTTCTTTGGGTATGAGTTGTTTTGACTTCTTAAGAGAAATCTAAGTGACTGTTTCCATAGTCAAATACCACATATTCTATGTCAACTCCAGCCCTATTTCTAGCTGTTCAAATTGGCCATAATCTATCTGCATTTCCCCTCTTTTTCTGGAAGATCTAGAATCCTAGAGGAACAGGCTGGACAGCACCTGAGACCCTCACACCCAAATCACTGAAGTTGGAATAGAAGAGGACAGAAAAGCAAGCACGGACCACACTACATGGAGAGGTTAGTCACTTAAGTGTTATCAACAGGAAGCAGTCCCACAGACCTCCTCATTACCAGGTCTTTATGTATTTGTGTGTGCTTCCTCATGTCATTTCATGGGTCTGAATTCTTCAAACTTGTTATGTGTGAAGTTGAGTACTTTCCATATATGCATTAATAAATAAATATTTTAATTTCCTCACTTGCAATACAATAGATGTCAAGAATCCATACTTCACAATATTCAAGCACTAGAGACTAAATTTTCCCTGCAGATTTTCTCCCTTGCCTAGTTAATGTATATTTCATATGATTGTTTTCTGCTAAGATAATATAGTTAGAGTATTCTGAATTTCTGCTTGAGGTATCACCCTTTCCCTTGCCCAGGCAAAAGCAGGCATAAACAAAGTCAATCCTACATCTGTTACTTTGACTTCCCTGTGACTGTCCTTTTCTAATCAAAAGATTTGTCTACACCTGATCACCTCAATTGCTCTTAATTCTTGCCTTTTAGCACTAGAGTGTGTTTTAAAACAAGGGTATATGATTTATATTTCCTCACTAAACAGTTTCCATCTAAGGACTGGAACCTTTATAGCTTTTATCTCAACAGATTGTTATTAAATGAAAACTGATGATATCACAGAGTTGATTTAAATATCAGACACCATTTGACAAATATATTCTTACTTTCAGTGAAAACTCGATTTGGTATTTATACCAGAAACCCTTTGTTCATTAATTCATTCATTTCTTTCAATAAATAGACATACAATGCACTAGTCAATATGCTAAGTGCATATTGGAGGAGACAATGTCCTTATGAAATCTGTTGGTAAAAAGACATTAATCAGATGATCAGAAATGTGGCGTATAATTTTAAATCAAGAGGCGCTGATTGGTGTTTAAAGAGCTTAAACCAAGGAACTTGTCTGGGGGAGAAGATCTTGCAGGAGGAGAGTGAATGGCATGAACAGAGGGAAAGAGCTTGTGCAAAGGCCCCGAAGCAAAACATGTGGTCTTTTAAAAAATTAAAATAATTCGCTAAGAATGATTGTCTCTAATTCATTCTATCACAGAAACAAAGAACTGACTACCACATGTTTTCACTCATAAGTGGAACCTGAGCATTACTTACAACGCAAAAGAGAGGGATTGGCAGTCATGGGACACTGCCAGGGGAGGAGGGGGCATACATGACAACATAAAGGGTACCTGATCTTTAACCAGGAGAAGTGAGAACCAGTTGGAGGCCCAAACTTCACCTGCATGTTACTTACGTACCTAATCCTGACTTGACCCCACATCTTTAAAATAAAATAATGTATAAAAAATAAAATAAAATAGTTCAGTGCTACAAGAATACAAGGGAAAGAAAAAGATCAAGACAAGTTTACAAAGGTTAACAGAGGCAAAAATCACTGAAAGAGTCTTTTAAGCCAAATTAAAAGTTTAAGATTGTATTCTAAAAGCAATAAAAAACTTTTAAAGAGCTTTAAGGAGAGAAGTGATATGATACAATTAGACAGTTTTAAGGATAATTCTGGGTTTTACAAAAGAAATGAACTTCAGGAGACAAAAGTGGATATAGGTAATCATCTAAAAACTTCTGAAATATGGCCTTCTTCAGCAAGTCCCACTAGTAGCTAAGAATTCAAGATTTTCTAATCTTCGGTCAACATCCAAATTTGATAATTTTTGAGTTTGTATAAAGGCATATATTTGTGACTTACTGTGAAAATTACTGGCAATAAGTTTTAAAACTTCCCACTGTATACTTATTAACCTGAACTAACCTTTAAAAGATCAGTTTCTTATTGGTAAGGTTTAGTAAACCAAGCAGTGATGACTACATTTAAATTGAGAGCTTTTAACTATAGCTTATTTCTAATGAACAGATGATCAAAGTTTTTATAAATTGGAAATTCAACATTTTAAGAGAATTCCTTGTGAAAAACTGTATCCTACTCAAGAATTCAAAAATTAAACAAGCTAGTTTCACTTACCTACCAATAGTGCATGACCTAAAATATTGTAGAACACATTACTGTCTACCATTAGGTCCCAGGTCCTACACATGCTGAGGCCTCTACTGAAGGAGCTCCATACGGTGCAGCCCTGTACATAGGAACCTGTATAGGAAAAGATAAGTAAAAATAAAAATGAATTTCAAAGGCACCGAAGACTCTGCTGACCATATCCAAACAACCTATACTATAGGATAACTAGAAACATCTTCCCACATGGTAATGAAACTCAGGAGATAAGAAGTTGGAAGCAGTAATCAAATCAAGAAAATGGACAACTCAGGCTAAAGGATCTCAAAGATAAGCAGGGTAATATCCAAGAATCAAGTTTTAGAAAAGAAAGCAATCTGAGTAAGAGCAAGTATGTTCAAACCACAAAAGATTGTATAGCTGTCAAGATTTCCAACTGGCCGATATCTTTGTTATGAACTCTCATCACAATATGGCAGTTGAGAACGTAAGGATGATAGAGTTCTGTTTATGGACCAACCTTGATCACTGAAAACTGCATTTGGCAAAAGGAGATGTAGTCATTGATTCTTGAGCTGTGAAACAATATTTAAGACTTGCCAAGTAATAATATTCTTGGCCCAAGAAGCCAGAGAGTCTTTTTTCAAAATGTAAGCAACACCAAAAGTTGACCTGATGATCATGATTCTCACATTTGAAAGTGGTAGGTTTATGAAGAGAAAGGGAGGCCGGGCTCAGTGGTTTAGCCTGTAATCCCAGCACTTTGGGAGGCCAAGGTGAGTGGATTGCCTGAGCCCATGGGTTTGAGACTAGCCTGGGCAACTTGGTGAGACCTCATCTCTACATAAATCAAAAATTAGCCAGGCTACTTGGAAGACTGAGGCAGAAGGATCACTGGAGCCCAGCAGGTCAACACTGGTATGACCCTGAGCATGCCACTGCACTCCAGCCTGGGCAACGGAGTGAGACTCCAACTCAAAAAAGGGAAAGGGAAATCCGGACACAGCAGCTCACACCTTTAATTCTAGTATTTTGGAAGGCCAAGGTGAGAGGGTCACTTGAGCCCAGGAGATCAAGACCAGCCTGGGCAGCATAGCGAAGGGTTGTCTCTAAATAAATAAATAAATAGGAAAGTATTTTCCACTATGTTAACAAAACATGAATTTTAGAAAATCATTACACTTATTTCATGGGCATATTCTATGGCAATCAAATCTAGTTATGTGGGCTGCATCAGTCAATGGAAATATTTACTGAGTATCAATTTTATGTTTTAATCATTATGCATCCCATTTTACTGCCGATATAAGATGAGCAAAACTAAGTAAACTCTGCATTTGTATATTTTCACTCTGATGGAGGAAACTGGCATTAAAACAATAAAAAATTATTATTTGAATAACTAAATTATAAATAATAAAAAGGAGCATTGTATTATGACTAGATGGTAAGAAAGATATTATATGGATGCCAGATGCTTGAGATACTGGAAAAATGACTTTGATTTTTAGAATAATTTGACTTAAAATTAGGACTATCCAGAAAAGTCTCAACTATAATGTTACCATAGATAGAAGACCTCCACATTTTCCTCAATCTCCACTTCCCTAGTACCTGGTGGCCTCACATTATTCATCAAGGATCCACCTCTACAAGTTAACCCCTTCATCTTTACCTCTGTAGAAAAAACTGCCAGCAGTGGACAGAATCTCCACCATATTTCAGTCAATCAGAATATGACTGCCCATCTAAACAATCAATAAGTACTAATGTGTTTGCACAGCTCTTATGGGTGGAGTTCAGGGATTGGTAAACTTTCAAAAAGCATTGTGCAAAGGTCCCATTGGCTCCTAACTCTAGTGACTGGGGACGATTGCCCATTAAGGGCATGAGAGGTTTCAGGTATAAAACAATGAAAGGTTGGTTGGCAAACATGACAAAAGTTCCTAACCTCTGGGTTAATTTGCTTCCCACTCCCCCAACCCCATGCCCCAGGCCACATATTTGCATTTCAACAGACATTTACAGGGGATAATAGATTAATGCAGTGGTTTTCAAACTTTCCTTTAAGCATTAAGCTTTACTACGAATAAAATCTAATATACAAAAACAGACCCAAAAAATGAAACAGAAATGGGGGAGACAGGTTAGGTAAAATGTGAGCAAGGCAGGGTTTTAATTATGTTCAGTTGATGACTTCTAAGTAACTGCTACCCTCTTTTTTCCTGGACTGCCCTCCACATCAGATATTCTGTAGCATCATAAGCAGCAGGAAACCAAAGAACCAGAGAGAAGGGCATGAAGATATCATCTCCCTAAATGACTGAAATAGATAGATAGATAGATAGATAGATAGATAGATAGATAGATAGATAGATAGATATTTTTTAAAGTTCTGGAAAATTAGGATAAACAGATATCCTTGGCATGCAGATACTTTGAAATGAGGGAAAATGTTGCAGTTGGCTAGCCAGGGACCTGCCCTCAATGACCTCAAGGATGGCTTTGTCATGCCCTGTTGGAATCCCTTCCTATCTCAAGGCACACCTGCACCACAAGGCACGCCCTGATGTTCTTTGCCACACATCAACCTCAGAAGCCCCCCAGAGTACCACCTCTCTAAGAGAAGGCAAAGTTTGATTTCAGAGCCTTTATCGGTGTTTTTTTTCTGATTCTGGTCTTGTTTTCCACCTAGTTGTTCTCTCCTGAATTTGATATTTCCTGCTCTCTTCCTATGCCTTCAGCTCTGGACAGGACCTGCACATCAGCCTGCCCCTTGTTCCCAGGAAAACACCTCGGTCCCAACTCATTCTCCATATTTCCCAGGCAGAAGATTCCTCTGAGTTAGAACAATTTCACATAGAAATGCTTTCTGCTGTGCCTGGACTCCCATGACGTTGATTATTTCTGTTATTCAGTGTCAGTTTGCCTGCAATCCCAAAGTTAGTAAATGGAAGAGGCTGGATTAAAAACATGGGATTGTGTGATTTCTCCCATGTTCTGTACTTACAGGAATGATTCTCAAAGTGTACTCCTTAAATGAATTGTTCCAGAATCAAAAGGTTTGCATGTTTAAAATTCCTTAGACCAGAATTTGACAGTAGAGTCTATATAACTCTGACTTTTAATAAGCTTCATACATAATTTGCTTAGGCATACTAAAGTTTGGGAACTACTGAACCTAAAATATACAAAATTATCCATCTCTGAGTCACTCAACTACCACATTTCACTTATCATGACTCCCTGCATATCGTGCCTTAAACATGGGAAAAGAAACAAAAATGAGAAGGTTGTAGATCTAAACTCCCTTACCTTTCATAACTCCCACCAGAGTGAGTGAGCTCAGATGCTTATGGAAGGCTTGCCCCAAGTCTTGGAACTGTACCCCTTTCAACTGGACCAGGCTGGGCTCCTTTGGAAAGGACTGAACGATTACTCTGGCCCCCAGATCCCTGGATCCCAGGATCTCCTCGCTCATGGAATATAAACAGTGCTGTAGATTACCTAAAACATAGAATAAAGTCCAGAGGACCAAAAGCTTGTAGAACATGCTTCCAGTCCCATCTCCTAGTTTGAAAGACACTGTCGACACCAAGGACAAACCATTACTATTCATTTCATTTAATAATCTTACTTCTCCATTTCTTTTATTCTTCTCCATAGATTATTAATTAAAAAGTCTAATAACTAGGACATGATGTTGCCTTCACTCTATTATTTCCAAAAACTCCCAAATCTATCACCTTAATTACTGTCACAAAGAGACAGATTACAACCCACACACCCAACCTAGATGCTTATTTCAATCCAAAAGATCCCCTGGGGGTAATGTGCAATAAAATGACCTTCTCATGGTTGATAATTGCAGGAAAGAGATAGGAACACTGAATGTAATCACAGCACTTTTTAGTCTTAAAATGCCCAGAAAGGTTTCCCCTTTACTGTGCTGTTTCATAGTTTGGGGACTTAGCAATAACACCACTACTTAAATGACAAAGGGCTACAGAATCATAACTAAGCAACCCCTGCACCAATACCTCCTTCTATAGCTGTACTGCCAGTGAGGACAGCAAACAATCTAAACCTAACACACACAACTACTATTGCTATGTAATGTTGTGACCTATATGTAGAAATTACTCAAATCAAAAACTTCAGCCTCAATGTTTCTTCCAGGCTCTACATGTTACCAGATGTCTCTACTGGTTGCTGGTCTGGCATCTCAGTTTTGACACTTACAAAATTAAACTCATGAGTGCCATCCTCCCACCTTAAAACCTGCTCCTCTTCCCATTCCAGTAAATAGCCTCATCATCCATCCAGAGCTCATGCCTGGGAGTCATCCTTGACACCCACACCATCCTGGACCAAAGTTGACAAATGATGTCTTCACAGCATATGAAAGCCTCATAATCTACAGCCTGGGAAACCAAAACATAACCTACTAAACTAACCATCCCTGAAATAGATGTTTAATAGGCACATCAGTGTGATTCAGTGCCTGCTATTCTACTAGAAGATAAATTGACTTTTTCCGCCACTTACCTAAAGTATGTGGTAGTTCATTCAGAAAACAAACCCCAAAAGGGATGAGAAGGTGGGGAGTTCTACAAGTTTAATCAGTAAGAATGTACTGCCTGAGCCCATGATTCTGGCATTACAGTTTTCCTGAGACTCTTAGAAAGGGCTGGAATCAGAGTTAAGTCTTCATAGTTAACTTAGAAATGTAATTCAACTCTTCGGTTTTAATTCTTTAACAGAAATATTTTCCTCCAGAGAAATCATTATTTTATTATTTCTTTTGTCTTTTGTCTATCTTTTTCACAAGGTTGTTGAGCACTGGGGACCAGGGTGGGGTGAGGATGAAATGACAATTTAACAAGAGCATTCTGAAAACTACAGAATGCAATGGACACCCAAAAGTGAAGGGCTTATTGAGAGAGGTCAACCAAAGCAATGCCACATATCATTTGACATCAAGAGCATTCTTTTTCATTCATTGAACTTTCCAATGAAATATTTTTCTACCTTCTGAAGCATTGGCTCCCTGGCACAAAGCAAGGAGCCTCATCCTCTCATTGGTAAGATTTCCTTGTATGGTAATACTCCTGCTGAGCAGGACCACAGTAGACTTTAAAATATGATGCTCATCAGTCACCCAAGTCTCTGTAAAGTTGTAAGAATATCTAAAAAAGAAAAACAAAAAGAAAAAGGACATCACTCCAAATCATATTCGGAAGAGTAAGCTACTAGATGAGCATAATTCTTCCTTTGGGGGTCTATTTGTTTAGAAACTCAAATACAGAATAGTGAACCATAGATAGCCACAAACACGTGAAAATTAGGAACAGTGCTGATTATTACACTGGCCACTCGCTACAAGACAGAAGTACTAGAGTCTTCCAAGAGAAACCTATTTAAGAAGTCTAAATCTTCAAAATATTTCATGCTTTATATTTTCCTTGTCAAAATATCTAGCATCGCTTAATGTGTAAACATACATCATTGGAAAAAAACAGGTAGGCATGGTGGCCCATGCCTGTGAGCACTTAGGGAAGCCAAGGTGAGTGGATTGCTTGAGCCCAGGAGTTTGACACCAGTCTAGGCAACATAAAAAGACCTCATCTCTACACACAAAAAAAAAAATCCAAAAATTAGTTAAGCTTGATGGCCCACACCTGTCATCCCAGCTTCCTGGGAGGTTGAGGCAAAGGATCATCTGAGTCCAGGGGGTCAAGATCGCAGTAGGCTGTGATCATGCCACTGCATTCTAGCCTGTGTCACAGAGTAAGACTCTGACAAGAAAGAAAGAAAAAGAGAGAGAGAGAGAGAGAGAGGGAGGAAGACAAGAAGAAGGGGCGGGAGAGAAAAGAATGACAAACAAATATCCAGACTTAACACAGTTAAGACCTCGTCTTCTTTCACATAGACTTAGTCAAGCTGTTACTCAGTACCTCAAGGGTGACCTAAGATAAAGGTCTGCATTGTGCACGGTTTCCACAATGATAATCTCTTCTTTTGGTTTGGCACCTTCGACCCCTATCCCACTGATGATGACAACTTCATCCCCAGGGTGCCAGTCCACAGAATCTTCCAGAGCCAGCATGGTGTCTCCAGCATGGGCAGCTGCTCGAAGATGGGTAACAATTACTTCTGGTAGTGAACCTAAAGCAGTCCGGAGAAAACTTGTTTAGATATTTTAAACAAGTTTAGATAGTTAGTAAGACTATGATGTTATTCAGCCCAAGAGTCTTGTGAAACAAGAACCCGGAAAAGTAAGTATAAGGATAGAAAAGTACCAATTTAGGGATAATTTGTTTTGTTTGATATTAGGTTTGGTTTGTGGGGGGTTTTTAAAATCTATAACAAGGTGTCAATGAAAGTAATCCATGATAGAGAATATATGGTATGAAAAACACAGGAATAGGCAGACTAAATTTCCATTTGGATCATAGTCTTGCCATAGTCTAATCATGTTTCTTTGGATAATAAACTTATGGATGTGCTTCAGTTTCCTTAGTTAAAAACAGAAGTAGCACAGTCTTCTATTAAATGAGAAAATATATTTGAAATACCTAGCTCGGATCATGCCCCATAACAGACTCTCAATGGATGTTTATCTTTTCTCCTCTCTTCCTGCATCACACTGTTTTGTTTTAAAATTTTAATTTTATTTTTAAAGACGAGGTTTCAATCTGTTACTTGGGCTGGAGTGCAGCAGCACGATCATAGCACACTGCAGCCTTGACCTCCTGGTTCAAGTGATCCTTCCACCTCAGCCTCCTGAGTTGCTGAGACTATAGACATGTGCCACCATGCTCAATTAATTCTTTTTAGTTTTTTTTGAGATGGGTGTCTCACTATGTTGCTTAGGCTGGTCTCAAACTCCTAGGCTCAGGAGTTCAATCTTTCCACTCCAGCCTCCCAAAACACTGGGATTACAGGCATGAGAGGAGGCCTGGTTCCTCACACTGTGGTTTGAGGATGAAATTTTATCACCTCTTTTTTATTCTACATAAAAACAAATGGACCTCTCTGATGCAGAGGTCTATAACTCATTTCCAACACAAAGACATCGACTCACCTCACACATAATGTAAGCAGAGTAGAAAATCAAAATTACCTAGTCATGATTGTCCTAAGTCTTGCTATATTAAATGATCCCTTCAAACTCAAAAACCAGGTCTATCAAGGACAGGACTGCTAAGCAAAAAGTTGAAGAAGGGAAACTTGTGACTCTAGTTATCTTTGTATTACACTTTGGGATATCCATCTGACCATCCCTATACCAGCAGGCTAGTCTTTAGTTATGAAAGATTCAAGAAGACCATCTGTCCCATAGTTTACTCCAGCCTTTACCAGCAAGGGTCAAGGCACAAATTTTTCCAAAACATTATCTGAAGCAATACTTCAGAAAACACATGGCTTACTCCCAACTCATTCCTCTTTCCTTAGTACATTTCCTTCCTCCTTAGCAATAGATCATAATTTACCTTTAGCCCACAGCAAGTTACTGTCCTCCTTTGTTGCACTAAAATAAAGTAATAATACTTGAATCTCTAACTACAGAGGTGGCCGACAATAAATCATTTTCAAATTATTTTAAACTTTCCTCTTTATTTATTTGTCTCTCTGTGTGTAGGCACTTGTACCAATACTGCTGTTCTAGGTTTAGAAAGGTCTCTGGGTTAACGATGCAATTTCTGAAGTTTACTTGGGCAATAATTTTATCTTTAAAACAATTTACAGAGTTCAAAATTTCTAATTATGGGGCAGGTGAAAATTAAGACATAAATCATCCCAAAAGAAAATAATTTTAATTTTATTCCTTATTTGTGTATCTTAACCTTTGGGAACAACAAAATGAAATAAAGTTTATTTATATGTATATGCATATATATGTGAATTTTTATGACTCATCCTTGAATGTCTACACAGAAGAATCACTAGCAAGCATACAAAAATGTTTATCAAAGACAAAATGCTATCAAAATCTGTGATCAGTTGTTCACAATATTCAGTCAATAGGCAACAAACATCTACTATATACCTACCAACATGTGGCAGAACCAAAAGTAGAGGCAGCAAAGATCTTTTCAACTAATTACTACTATAAATAATGGTCAAGTCCAAATGACTGGAAAAAAAATCCCAGAGAATCTTTAAAGTGCATTTCTTAACTATTAACATAAACATATGTCTTTGCAAATGTCAACAGAACCTCTAGAAAACAGTAAAATTAGCTCATGATTTATTCACTCTCATTGCAAAAATAACATCTCCAGGTAGGTGACTAAAACATTAAGCCTGGATGTTTAGTGAGTGCCACCTTATAGTTCTAGATACATAGTGGATATTGATATTTGAGCTTTCATTGTCTCAAACTGAAAATGTCAAAATCATTGTAATAATCACCTGAGCTAGACCCTCTGCAAACATCTTTCATTAGTTTAACTATTCCTCATTATGTGCTTTTTTCAAAAACATTTTCTGCTAAGTTATTTTAATTACATCCCTTCTTTGTCCATTAACCTGCAGTATTTCCCTACAGCATTCAGTAGCAAAGCCCCAAATTCCCTTCCTGACTTTCAAGACTCTCCATAACATAACTCTACTTTCTCTGATTTCTTGATAAACTTTCTGTGCCAGGAAGCCCAGACTCTTTGCCTCTTCCCATTTAATGAGATCATTCCTACCTTTAACCCTTTGCAAATGTTCTCACCTATCCTACCAAAGCCCAGTTCAAGCCCTGCTTCTTCCACTGAATTTCAGCGAGCACTCCAGCCTCCTCCTGTAGGTGCTAATCTTCACATCCTCCTCCAGACCTGGTAGTGGTATGAGATCCTTACCTGAGCGAAAGCTATGTGTACATCTGAGATGTAGGCATGCCAAACTTGTCTGGGCAGTTTGTGGGCCATTTGAGTGAATTGACTTGCATGAGAGAAGAAGCTTGTATAAAGAAGTAGATGGAGCCGGGTTCAGTGGCTCAGCCTGTAATCCCAGTGCCTTGGGAGGCTGAGGTGAGTAGATTGCCTGAGCCCATGAGTTTGAGACCCACCTGGGCAACTTGGCAAGACCTCATCTCTACAATAAATCAAAAATTAGCTGGACGTGGTAGCACACACCTGTAGTTCCAGCTACTTAGAAGACTGAGGCGGTAGGATCACCAGAGCCCAGCAGATCGAGGCTGCGGTGGCCGGGAGTGGCCACTGCACTCCAGTCTGGGTGACAGAGTGAGACTCCAACTCAAAAAAAAAAAAAAAGAAGAAGCAGTTGGGAGAAAAGAGGATGGCAAAGAAGACTTGGGGTCTGTCACAGATATATACCCTCTCTGCTGTCCATACGGACCCATGGCTGAACCTAAGGGAAGAACTTGAAGGAACTCTCCAAGCAGATTTTTGCACCAGATGCTCTTCTGCCTGGGATTCTCTTGCCAACTTGCTCTGCCACATTCTTTAGAAATTAACTTCTAGAGAAACCTCCAAGACTTCCTGAGTAGTCAAACTCTGTAACATAATCTGTCATTTTACCATGGCTCTCTCCTTTCTAGCACTTAACACAACTATAATTACTTGTTTGTCTCTCCTACTGAAAACATACCTGCATTTGCTCAACCATCACAGTATCAATGCCACCTTTCACGGTGCCTATCATATAAAAGGTGTTCCACAAATAATCTTCTGGATGAGGAAATTCATGAATGAAACATAAAGAATATGCACCCCCATGCTTTGGTGTCCAGGTGATCAGGAGGGACTCTAAGTGGTACAGAAAGATGGTCATCACACGTCATCGTGGGACACAGAACACTCTCACACCCTGAGGTTTGACTACCTGGGGAAAATGGAAGCCTGCACCCTTGAGCCCATGTGTTCAATATCCTCATGGTGGGTACCAGCAGCAGAGACAGAGATGAGGCAGTCCTACCACTTTCCTGAATGGAGAACAACAACCAAGGAGGCCAAAATAGCAGGAAAAGACCATGGAAGACATCTCATGGTGACTACAGCAGACAGACTGGTTGATGAACTCACATGAAATATGTAAGAGGAAGCAGGCAGGAATGTTGAAAAGGGCTGGAGGTTCTGTGAGATTTGAGGACTGCAGGCAGTAAACTTTTCATCACTACTAAAATATCCACAGGCTGAGCAGATTCAGGAAGGCCTGGGGAGGCTTCGGGTATGTAATCAATGTTCAGTACCATATATGTCAATACTAAATCATTCTGTAATTATGACAACGTGCCGGGCTCAGTGGCTCAGCCTGTAATCCCACGCCTTGGGAGGTTGAGGTGAGTGGATTGCCTGAGCCCGCGGGTTCGAGACCCGCCTGGGCAACTTGGTGAGACCTCATCTCTACAATAAATCAAAAAATTAGCCGGGCGTGGTAGCACGTGCCTGTAGTTCCAGCTACTTGGAAGGCTGAGGCAGAAGGATCACCAGAGCCCAGCAGGTCGAGGCTG